CGCCCCCGCCCCCGCCCCGGGGGCCTCGTGCTGAGCCAGGGGCGCGGGCTGCCCGGCCCGGATGCCCGCGAGGGCTCGCGCCCGTCTGCTCCGGCGACGCCGACTGTCCGCGCTGGGCCTGTCGCCGCCCCGCTCTCCGCCAGGGAAGCAGAACTTTGTCCGAGCGCGGCGGGGACGCGCGGCCCTCCCCGCACCAGCAGCGCCCACCTGCCTCTGCCGCCCGGAGCCCGTCCCGCCCGGCGCCGGGGTCTGAGCCCGACCGCCCGGCGTGGCCCCGCCCGCTCCCCGCCCCCGCCGCTCCGGGCCAATAGGCGGCGAGTTTCTCCCCCTCCCTCCCCCGTCCTGCGGCCCGGCCCCGCCCCTCTCCCCGCCCCGCGCCCTACCCCACCCACGCCCGCCCGGGATCCGCAGTCCGCTCCCCGCGTCCCCGGGCGCGTGGCGGTGCCGGGACGCGGGGGACCCGCCGTGTGCGGGCGCGCGCACCGGGACTGGAAGGCGTCCCGAGCCGCGGAGGCCGCCTCAGCCACGCGCTCATCCGCACCCCCGGTCCGGCCGCAGGGCCTCTGGGTCCTCAGCCCTCCTCCCGCCTGCCTGCCCGAGCTCTCCGCCTTCCCGAGGTCTGGCACGAGGACCCGGTGGCCGGGCGCGCGGGCGGCGCCTTGGAGTCTCGTGGGCCTGCGTGCCAGTGCGGAGGCCCGCTCGACGCTGCGGAGTGGTGTTCAGGGAGCCGGCCAGGGCCTCCCTTGTGTGCACGAGAGTGCGTGTGTACGCAGTGTGTGTTTGTGAGCTGCAGCCTGAGCCTTCCCTCCTGTTCAGTGTGGGCTTGAACCAGGTCAGACATGGAGTTCTTGGGGGCTCTATCAATTGACCGCCTAGTATTTCCTTTAAACCTGAGACTTACTGTCCGACAGGCTTTCAGAGCCCTGTGAATATCACTGCCTTAAATGGGAAGCCAGCATCACTTGCCATAAATAGAAGGCAAAAGGAACACAGGCAAGGGAAACAGAGCAAGGTTATTGCGTTCTGGCTGGAAACCGAGGCCGCCCAGGCTGGATCTGGGCCCTCAGGGGGAGTGGGCCGGCTGGGAGAGGTGAAGCCTGACAGCCCCTTAGCACCGGTGAGCCCCTAGGTCAGGGCCTCGAGCCGTCCAGACGCCCGTGGGCGCCCTGGGGTGAGACTGGCCCTCAGGCCCTGCCTGTACACACCCCAGGGTTTGATCAGGCCCCGCCAGGAAAGGCTCCAGGTCTCGGCTGTGAGGGGCCTGAGAGTGGGACTCCGGGATGGCGAACCCACTCAGGTGGCCTTGATTTTTTTTTTTTTTTGGTACCGGGGATCGAACTCGGGTCCTTGCGCTTGCAAGGCAGGCGGCGGAACCACTGAGCTAAATCCCCGGCCCCAGGTGGCCTTGATTTTGTGTGCAGAAAGCAGCCTCCCCTGCCTGCCCTCTGACACCCCAGGCCTCTCCAGGGGTGATGGGGTGGCCAAGGTGGAGTGTCCAGTGTGAAAGCCCAGGCCTTGTCCTGCGTGATGGAGGAGTGAGAGGGGCTCAGGGCTGTGCCCTAGTCACTGCCCGAAGCCTGAACTCTGTCTGGGAGCTGACTTCCCACATAGGGCTGTGCTTGCCTTGCGCGGTTCGACTTGAGCTGCCCCAGACATGGCACCGGAAACAAGGCAGGCTGGAAGCCTTGTCCTCCTGCTCCACCGCAGAGGGTCCCAGCCCATTGGCCACACTCATCGCAAGGACGGGGGAGGGCCCCTGCCTCTGTGCCTCTCCTGTAAGCACCGGGTGTGGGATGGCTTGGTCAGTAAGCAAGACCACCCCTCTGCCCCTTCCTGAACCTTCTGTCTCCACGTGGCCCATGTGCAGTAGCTGCCTGCGTCCTTCCTTTCTGGGTGGGTTCCCTCTTGCCCCCTTTCTCATAACTCATAACCCTTAAACGTTTTTGTACAGATGTCATCCCTGCTCAAGGATTTTTCAAGGGCTCCCTATTGCTCAAGATACAAAATCTAATTCCTTCCAGCCAGCCCATGTTCTGCCCAAGTGAAACCGCTTCTAAGTCCCTGATGAAGTTGCAGCTGTCCTCCTGTAGGTTTGCATCCCTCCCTCCAGGACATCTTTTTCTTTATCTACCCGTCCAACCCTGGCACATCCTTCAAAGCATGGTGATCACATTTCTCCTCACAAAGCTTTCTCCCAGCCTTTCTAATGGTGTGAGTCTTGTCCTCTGAGCTCCCGGGGCACCAAAGCCTGGCCCCTTTCGCCTCAGTTTCTTTGCCTGTAAAGTGAGCGTCACAGTAGTAGCTACTTTGTGAAGTTATTGATAGGAGTAAAATTAACTGCAAAGCGCCTTGCAAATGGACCATCGTTGTGGAGCCTCTCAAACCTGCCTCGCCATCCCCGTCAGCATTGAGCTCTGGGAGCGGGGTAGAGCCCAATTCCTGTTCACTTTCCCTTTGTGAAGGGCAGCACTTTGCATGCTGTCCGTTTCTAATAAATGCTGAATTGCTGTGGGCAGGAAACACAGTCACTGTCCTTGGGAACAGGGGCAGGACGGTGATGGGCAGATTCCGTCAGTCTTCCCAGCAGCCACTTACAGAAGGAAATGCAGATCCCAGAGCAGCAGAGGAGAGAGGGGGGAGCTGGAGCCAAGGTAAGTTTCTCCAAAAGGAGATGCGGCCTTTGTGTAGTGTCCTGGCAGCTCCATGGCCACTTTCCTGAACAGTGGCTCCCACCCCTGGCAGTGCACTGAACTCGCCTCCTGTCTCCTGGCCTCCTGGGCAGCTTTAGAAAGAAGTACCACCCCCCAGATGCAAAGTCCACTGCTCTGGGCTGAGCCTGGAGCCACATGGTGTGCAACCTGGCCTGCTCTACACTGGTCCCAGATGTGGTCCCTGGATGGCTACAGATGCAAAGCTCGACCCACCTCACACCGCATCTGGATCTCCAGCCCCTCACTGAGTCTAAGAACCACTTGTCAGCTAGGAGACAAGAGGTAAACAGCTCAGAGGTCCCAAGGCCCAACCTTCCTCTTCTGCAGATAGGAAGTTGTGGCTCAACCAGGTTCAGCAACTGCCAGCCAGAGGCCAGCCGAGTGGCCACGCCTGGCCCCAGCACAGTGCTCCTTTTGTGAAAGGCACTGGCTCTAGCAAGACTGTCCCTGACCAGGTGCAGGCAGAGTCAGCCTGGGGAGTCGGTGGGGCCTTGGGTCCCCAGTGGCTGGCTGGGGCCCAGCTCAGACTCCAGTAGTACAGGGACCTGAGGGGTCACCGGGCCACACAGATACTCCTGAGTAGCAAGGACAGAGGATGCCCTGGCCAAAGGTCAGTAGGAACAAGTGGAACCCTGCATCCTCCCATTCTCTGTCCACATCCACCTCCTGCCACTTGTGCAAGGCCCCTCCTGGCCCTCACTCCACCCTGTGAGCCTCCTCGTCTCGGCTAGGAACCTGGGTCCTGATCCCACACAGACAGAAGAGCACTGGTGACCCTGGCATGGGCTGCAGCATTCACCCTCGTATCCCAATACCTCACACTGCAGGAGAAAGCCTGACTCAGCTGAGCCTGAGCCTGCATGGCTCTCGCCACCTCCCGGCCTTGGCTCATGTGCCCAGGACCCTCGTCCCTGGGCTGCCAGTGGCTCCCAGCATCCCTCCCCTTCCTGGATGCCTCTTCTTGCCGTCTGAACTCTAGTGACTCAGATCTAACACTTAAGATCCAGATACAAAGGACAATGCCGCATGCCTCACCCCCTGGATTTGCTGTCTACGCTTCTCAAGTCCAGAGTCAGTGTCTGTGTAGATTTGGGATGCAGGATACTGGCCTGACTGTCATGGAGCCCTTGCTTCTTGAGGGTAGAGGTGGTACTTAGCACTGGGTGAGTACACAGCAAAACTCAGCCGCAGCACTTGTGTTCAGTAGCCTCCCCTGTCTACCAAGTGTCAGGTCAGATGTTTTCTGAGGCCCCATCTCAGCCTTACTCCTGAGCTGGGTGAATCCACCTCAGGTGCCTCAGGTGCCTTCTAGCACAGAGGCAGTTGCTGTGCACATTAGAGAACGGTGTCTGCTTCAGGCAGAGGCAGCCCCCACCTCAGAGCTCACAGCTTTGGCAAAAATAGCACAAGCTGTATTTCCCAGCTGAGTGCCCTTGAGTGCTAAGCGACCTGCACAACCATACAGGGCAGCCCATTGCGCCCTCATCTAGTCCCGGAAATGCACACAGAGAGTTGGGCAAGGAGCAATGATGACCAGGAGTGTGTGAGCATTACACTAGGTAGGAACAGGATGGTGGAGCAGCCACAAAAGGCACAGACTGAGTGGACCAGAGCCTTTAGATCACAGTGAGAACCATTCACAGAGCCACTGTCCCTGCAGGCACTGGCTGGCCCTGGAGACTGCAATTTGGGGTGGGGCATCATTGGCCTCGTTTGCAGGTGAGGAAACTGAGGCTGAGCGGGCCCAGCCACACTGG